GCAGTCACTGATTGAATCAGAGTATTTATCGCTAACAAGTGTGACGTCAAGGACCTCTCTTCTGTTAGTAATAATAAAGGTGTGTTCATTTCCCCTATTAGCTACTGTTAGTTTATTTTCTACAATAAAGCTGAGCAGTGACTCACCCCTTTGGTTTGTATCTGAGCTTCCCCAGATAATGTGGTGAGCATTAGCATCTGCTGAAATTATTAGAGGGATGTTGCTTTTATTGGCACGAGACATCGCCTTTCGTGTGGTGGAGTTTGGTGGTTCCTCTCTTTGATCGTGTGCCATGTAGGAGCTCATGAACTATACTGTTTGCCGTTTATTTTCTACAGCGATGGTACACGTGTCCTTATCGCTAAAATCAGATAGAATAAAAGCATTAAGGTTGCTCTTGACATGGCGAAACTAATAAGGTGAAGTAATTTCAACAGCTGATTATTTCTTTGACCATCGAAATTTAGCCCGAAGCTGTCAAACTCCACATAAGAAAAATTTTCTCTCAAACCCGACGCTGTCAAACTACATATATAAAAAATATCATAAATTCGCCGCAAAATGAAATGACTTCACCTTATAGTCTATTCGCTGAATATTTCTTTGACCATCGAAATTTAGCCCGAAGCTGTCAAACTCCACATAAGAAAAATTTTCTCTCAAACCCGACGCTGTCAAACTACATATATAAAAAATATCATAAATTCGCCGCAAAATGAAATGACTTCACCTTATAGTCTATTAGCCTTGTTTAGTCTGTTGTGGATGACAGTGGCCTTCCTGGAACCGTCAACAGGGTCAGTAACATTTGCTATTTTCTAGTCCTTTGTGGGTAGCTGAGGGTTGCTGACCTGTATAATTTCCAGAATCACCGCTGGGTCGGATGATATGGCGGGGATCTTATCATCAGATCTAGGCCTCTGTGGAACTTCGGCCAGAGGTATTGCCGAACTTCCCCGAGGGACGCTATGGCTACTTTGTACAGCTGCGGTGAACGCTCGTCTGTACAAGCAATGAGTTTGATGTGGCCTTGGTACCAACCAACATCTTCACACTAGGGCGATGGTCTTGGATTGTCCCGGACGAATTCCATGAACGCCCCACTTAGCTCCATGACAACCAGCTTCCAGTTTCCTGAGGAGATGGTGCCATCGCTGTTATTACGGTCGATGATCGCCCAAATGAGATGGTCTTTCGTCACCTCTTTGTATGATCTCGCTTGGGGCCGTACTTCGGATGGTACCCGTTTAGGGTACCATCCGTAGAAGGAGAGGCACTTTTGTGTTCCTCAATGAGGATTTTCGCCCATTTGAGAGAGTTTCTCTCTTGCTCCGTGAGCTCATCGACTGGCCTGGCACCAAGTCGATTTACGATTTTATAGGCGTCTGGTAGTGAAGGCCCTTTTGGACGGGTTTTTGTGCCTTGGGGTATAGAGCATGAGGCCGTTGAGGCCGAGGGAGATGCTTCGTGGGGCACCGTATCTTTCTTCGAGTGCTCCTCTGAACCACCTTGCCGGCACCTGAAGCAAGGGATTCTACAGGAGTTGATCCTGTAAGGACCTGGGGAGCCTTTGAGGTACCTGGTTTCAAAGAACCACGTTGTACCAAGATCAGTTTTCGATCGCCTACCGGCTTGATCGGTTAAGTTTTTAGCGCACTAGTAGCTGGCCGACTAGCGGAGACTGGCGCTTCCACTCTACTAGTCGAGGTTTCAGTAACTTTCAACGTACTGCAGCCTGATACCGACGCGCAGCAGTTGGGTCCCCGGAGATTGTTAAGCCCATTACCGGATGCGCAGGGCATGTTTTCTTATCGGACATTTTGATAAAAGTTCGTTGCATTTTAAGCAATATGAGTACAGACGCTGATGGATTTGTGATTACGGACCGACGGCCACCTTGGGCAGGTGAACGGGCCACTTACGACCAACGGACTGTAAGTTAATTTGCCGCTCCAACTAGGAGAAACAGAAGCTAACTATGGTGAAGACAATTAGCTTTTTGATATTTAATATTTTTTAAATTAAATTATATTTTTATATTTGTTATACAAATAAAATATTTTTAATGTGTACTGGTTAAAATTTCAAATGTGAATGAAAATTATTGAAAACTCAAAATGATTATAAAAATGAATAATTAAATGAAAACTTAATATTTTAAAATACAATGTTATAAAGTAGATATTTTACAGATAAAGTATACATCTACAACTACTCTCCCTCCAAAAAATTATTTCCAATAAATTAAAAGAAACTCGTTTAGTTGTTCGTTTAGAATTACTTGTGTTAATGTTTATGTTAGTGCTTTCTATTAATGCTGGCTTTAATCGATCTATTGGTAAAATTGCAGTTTTATTGCTTATATCTACTTCAAAATATTTGTTATTCTTCTCAATTACTCTGTAAGGTCCCTCATATGGTTGTTTTAAAGTGGTTTTATTAATTACACGCATAAATACATATTTGCAGTCTCTAAGGTCTTTAGGTATATATACTTGAATTTTTACTACTGTGGGGATTAATAATCTCCAGTTGATGTCAAAATTTCTCCAGGTAAACGTAAATTTTGACCATAAACCATTTCCGAAGGTGTAGCTTGTAGATCCTCTTAAATACTGAATTTGGCCAAAAATAGCGTTCAGTCACAAACATCCGTGTAACTCTGACACCGCGGTGTGAAATATTATGTAATTTTTTGAATATAGTTTTCCGCAAACTTAATGGAACATAAGGTCTAGGTGTATCTAAAGTGCATTCACACCAAATTTCTAAATTCAGAACTGGAATTTTTAAGAAGTTAAGATTCAAGTGTTTGCTTTTATCGGAAAGAAGCTGCGAAAGATCTTTACCTTTCTGTTGTTCATCAAATAACACCCTTAGATTAAGATCAGAATATTTGTATGCTTCTACTTCAAACGTTCTAGACAAAGTATCAGCTACAACATTAACGTGTCTGCCTTGAACTTCTTTCGGTCTTTGAATCTAAGGCAAATACTAAAAGGTTTGTGGTCGGTATATACGATAAAAGATCTACCTTCTAGTAAATATCTAAAATGCTTAATATTTATATTAATATTTATATATTGCTAATAGTTCTCTATCAAAAGTACTATATTTAGCTTCACTAGGAGTTAATTTCTTAGAAAAGAATGCTAATGGCCCTGAAATTCCTTTATAAACTTGTTGCAGAACACCACCTATGGCAACATTTGATGCGGCTACTGTTAAGGTCTTTATTGAAGTGGTTAAATAAAACTCGAGATGCAAAAGATTCCTTTATTTGATCAAATACTTTGCGGACTTATTTGGTCCCTTCTAAGTTTTTATTTTTTATTTTCAACGCGTTTGTAATCATTGTATGGATAGGGTTGGTTAATTCGGCTAACTTCGGGATGTATTTGTGGTAATAATTAACCATTCCTACAAATTTTTGAATTTATTTAACAATTTTCTGTTGTTCAAAATTTCGAATTGCTAATACTTTTTCCTCAGATGGTTTAATTCCAACCTTCGATATATTGTGACCTAAGAAATCTATACTTGAAACACCAAATGTACATTTTCCTGTTTTGATGTTCAAACCATATTCATCTAATCTTTCAAAAACTTTCCTTAAATGATGTAAATGTTGTTCTTCATATAAAGTCTAAACCCATGAAAACTTCGTTGATAAATCTTTGAAACGTTTGTGCTGAATTTCGCAAACCGAATGGCATTCTTTGAAACTCAAACATTCCGAATGGTGTTTTTATAGCTGTCTTTCTCTGTCATTGGGATTTGGTGATAAGCCCGTACTAAATCTATCTTAGAAAATATATTTGTATTTCTTATATTCATATTTAAATCATGAATATGTGGTAACGGATATCTATCTGGGACGGTCACTACATTTAGACGCCTAAAATAACCACATGGACGCCATTCGTTTGGATCTTTTAGAATTTTATAGTCTACATATACCCGATTTTACAAGAAAATCAAATTCTGTTTTGGCTGCTTTGTATTTCACCGGGTCTAAACGTCTTGGTTTTGTAAAAGGTAAAGGGCTCTTTGTTTCTAATCTGTGAACGGTCGAATGTTTTATTGGTTTCGCATAATCTGGTTCCAATATTAATGAAGGAAATTTCTTTAAAAGTTCCGTATATTGATTATCTACAGAAAATACTTTTGGTATGATACATTGCAGCAACATGAAAATGTATTAACAGAAAAATTAGTAAGTGGATCAATTAGACATTTATGTTTAATGTCTATTAGTAGACCGTATTTACAGAGAAAATCCGCACCAATAATGGGTTTAGAAATATCAGCAATTAGAAATATGAAAGGAAATTCGCGCTGAAGTCCTAAATCTACATTAAGTAGTTTCTTCCCAAATGTTGCTATGTTTGATACATGTGCTGCACTTAAAATAATATCTGATTTCTTGTTATTACTTTTGAATTTTGACGATGGTAACACTGAAATTTCTGCACCACTATCAATTAAAAACTTAATTTTATTATATTTATCGAAAATGAAAAGGCGACTTGAATAGTAATCAATCTTTCCACTGTACGTCGCGGCAACAGTAGAAGATTTTAGTTTGTTGAATTTTCAATAGAAAATAAGCAAAGTTGTTCACATTTCTTGGCCTGATTGCCAAATCTGTAATGAAAGCGACATAACCACTTCCTATTTGGTGAACGACCTCGAGAGCGTGAAGTACTTCTATTATATCTTCTATAAAAAGGGCGTGAAATCCGAGTTTATAACTCTTGTTTCAGAGAACTTACTTCGAGTATTAATTTATTAATATTCTCACATAATGAAGATGTTAGTTTGTGTACAATTTGTTCCATATTATAAGTTGTCTGAACTTGTCTGACACTACAAATTTCTCCGTTGTAAATAACTTCCCACAATCTATCAGCTAGTTGAAGTAACTCATTATGGATTTATATTTGAACCTGTTAAAGCGACATTTAGAGTCTTTGGAAGTTTACGTAACCAAAGTTTAGTTAGCATATCCGAGGTAAAATTTGAGCCAGCAAAATAATAGCCATATCGCTATTAGATAGTATTTTATCTAATTTAGACGTTTCACTTAATGGGTGACGTTCAATCAAACCTTTTTTGAGATTGAGGTATCGATCAGTTGTAGTTGGATTCTGAATAATGTCCAACACTTTTATTATAACATCTTGTGGAAGAGCAGTTATAATATATTCGTATTTGGTTTGATCTATGGTAGTGCCTTTAGTTGCAAATTGCATTTCGGCGTGTACAAACCATGCTTCTGGACAATTTGTCCAAAATTGAGGAAGTTTAACAGAGGATGCGCATATGACTAAATCTACTTGAGGTATTCTATCAATCGATTGATTGCCAAACGAGTTTGTATTATTATTTGTTGTAATTGAATTAGTTTGTGAATGCGTATTAGTGCGAGTTGGGGATCGTGTAGTCATTTTTGGAGGACAGAAAAAAATATATCAAAATTGACGTTAAAATTGTTATTAATTAAAGTTAATTATTCAATATTTTAGAAATTATGTATACAACTAAGGTATATTTAAAATCTAAAAACGTAAAATACTTAATAAATGGTGACTAATATTAGGGTTCATTTAGGTATAAAACTTAAAATAGGTACTTAATTATACTGACTTATTTTCTTGTATATTTGGATTTAATTTATTTTGATTTTGAACTAAACTGAGATAGCCCTTTAGATCTTTGTTTTTAAGATGAAGAATAAAAGGTATTTTCCAACAGGATGCAAAATGATAGAGTTGATGATATTTGATAGGATTTATTTTTTATTTTGCTTTTGTACAAGATTTGTGAATGTTGCTTTTTCTTCCTCTTGATAGAGGATTAATCCAACTTGGACCGAAATTCTCAAATTAAAAATAATCGATTTTTAAAATTTAATCAATTATAAGTTCAGCGAAAAATGTTCGTTTTGTTTGCACGATCGCCAATTTATAATGAAGACAATTAGCTTTTAGATATTTAATATTTTTTAAATTAAATTATATTTTTATATTTGTTATACAAATGTGAATGAAAATTATTGAAAACTCAAAATGATTATAAAAATGAATAATTAAATGAAAACTTAATATTTTAAAATACAATGTTACAAAGTAGATAATTTACATATATGTGTATACTCTAGCTAACAAGGGGGGGGGGGGTTTGTTTGTAGAAGTTCTTAGTTCGTGCTCAATTTAGGTATAGACAAAGTTTATACCGTCAGCTCAGTTCTAAACCTCTACGCACTTAAGCCCTCGCATCGCGACAAGATGACTTCATAGGTTTTTCACCAAAAATGGAAGTACTTCAAGTATGTTATTTGTGGTGAAAATTCTATTTCTTTTTCCTCATTTTTTTGCTGGGTTGTCATTGAAAGAATGTGGTTTATTTTTGACATCCACATATCGGATTTTTACTGCTTCTAAAAATAATATTAAGTGTAGTTCAAAGTTGTCAAAAATGAACAACTTCCAACTCCGTTTTATGGTGGTTCGGGTGGCCCCTCCGATGACATCCCAGTGGGAACAGCTTTGACAGCATGATGTTAACCTGTCTGTTCTGTAAACCGAATCCGAGTAAATTTTTCATTTAAAAACGAATTCTCACAAATCTAGTCGAAAATAAATCGATTTTAATTTTATTAAAATAAATTAAATAATTGTTTTTGGCGTTTTTTAATATAATTGTAACTTAATATAAATGTTATGTTCAAATAAAAATTCGATTTGCAGAACACCAAATTCGGTTTTAAAAGTTTCTCGGTTTTGAAACCGAATCGTTTCGTCATGCAGGTGTTCTTCAGACGTCATTTGAATGCAGCCTGTTACCGTTCTAAGGGCTGCGTTTTGACAGCTTTGGAGCTTCTTCCATTGTGTGTCGCTAATTCTAGGTGTCCACACTGGCGCTGCGTAGTTTATCACTGACCGGCCAATCGTTTGGTAGGTAGTTAACAAGGTTCCATTATCCATTCTCCAAGTGCTGCCGGCTAAAGACTTAAGTACCTTGTTTCTACTTCGCATCTTGTTGCAGATTGCAGTGGTGTGCGCGGAGGACATAAGGAGGCTATCGAATGTGATACCAAGTATTTTGGGTTGATTTACCTTCGGGATTTTTTCGCCATCGACTATCACATCCAGTTCTAGCCCTACCTTAGTCCAAGGTAAAGAGAGTTGCTGAGGATTTTGTTGGCGATATTTTTAAATTCCTCGAATGGAAGAAGCTGGAAAGATCACATAGGTAACTGTTAATCAAACCGCAAAGGTCATCAATTCTATTGCCCATGGTTCTCACATATGGTGCGCCCACACGATGCCGTGCCTAGCTGTTTCCGCTGCCTGGGCTTCGATCACAGGGTGAGAGAATGAAGGATGACGAAGGGTGTGTGCCGCCTCTGCGGACAGGTTGGCCATATGGCATCACGATGTGTTAATGAGATTCATTGTAGGAACTGTGCATTCAAGGGGCTTCCGGCTGATCATCTTGTGATGTCGGCCGCCTGGCGGTATATAGCGCTATGGTTGCTAGAGCGAACGCTAGACATAGGCGCCATGGATCCCAACTCCATTAATCTTTTGCAGATCAGCTGCCAGCGGTCATATGCAGTGATGTGCGAATTGGGGCAAGCTATGCGTGTCCGAGGTGCGACTTTTGCACTTGTGCAGGTTCCGTATACCTCGGGTGGCCGCATAAGAGGATTGCCGGGAGTTGTACAGTCGTTTATTGACGAAGGGGGGAATGCCAATAGTGCAGCTATGACAGCATTTGACTTAAGGTGGAGGGTGTGTAACGACTGGAGTATAAGTGACCATAGGCTCATTGAGTTTACGGTCTCTTGCAGAGAACGAACTATTAGGACAGACCCTACTCGATCCTGGTGGAATAGGGATATTGACTGGGACTCGTACGCGGGGCATTTTCGGTCGGTGGCCTCAGAGGTGCCGATTGATACTTTAGGATACTGACGATAGATGACCAGGTCGGTAAGATAGATCAGTGGATGTGTCACACTAATGACACTTTGTTGGGCCGACGTCGTAAGACAAGGTTAGCAAAGTGAAGTGGTAGACTCGTGAGCTGGATCTAATGCGAAGGTCCGTCAGGCGTCTCCGGAAGCGTTACCAGAGAGCCAGATTCACTAACGCAGAGGATTTAGTTCAGCGCAAAGCTGACTATCTTCCGGCCTTACGTACGTATAAGGACATGATTGTTAGAGCGAAAGAGGACGAGTGGAGAGACTTCGAACGGGACAATAGAGACGACCCTTGGGGTGCGGTTTACCGTATCTGCAGGGGAAGAAGTAGACATGAGGACTTGGGATCCCTTCATGTTGGCGATACTGTATTGTCAACATGGGGGGATTGCATGAGCCTTCTGTTGGATGTTTTCTTTCCTCGTGAGGAGAATGCTGTTCTACTTCCCCCTGGGGAAGTGAATGGCCCTCCGATCTTGGAAAAATTTGAAATATCTGACAGTGTCTGCCGCGTCAAAAGCAGAAAATCGCCTGGTATTGATGGCATGACTGGAGAGATGTGTAAAAGCATCTGGAAGGCCGTGCCAGAATATCTGGAGTCAGTCTTTGGGAAGTGTTTCAGCGAGGGCAGTCTCGTGCTGTTATAGAAACTATTGGTGGGGGGGTTATGCGTCGCGTTAATGCGTGGGGTAGTAGCGTTGGTGTGGAGGTGGCTATGGACAAGGCGGTGATGATGCTGCTGAAGGGCAGCTTATCATCGGCTCGTCCGCCGTGCATGCGTTCTGGCAATGTGGCCCTCAAGTATGTGACTGAGGTCAAGTACTTGGGGATTACTGTGAGCGAGAAGATGAACTTTTGGTTCATCTTGTTCGGGTCAGAGACAAGCTTTCCGTCGTTGTGGGACGGATCAGACGCATCCTTAGGAGTGACTGGGGCCTCAGCAGGCGTGCCATTCGTGTTATATAGATTGAGGATGATAAGGAGAAGTTGTGATTTTAAAACATCCTAACATCTCCGTTAATTCAGTAAACATTTTAGAAGTAAATTGTCCACCCTGATCTGTTGTTATATTTAACGGAACACCAAAACGTGAAATATAATTTCGAATAAACGTATCTACTATGTTAGATGTTGTAATGACTTTTAGTGGATATGCTTCTGACCAACGAGTATATCTGTGTGTGATGGTTAATATATATCTGTGTTCACGAGATATAGGTGAAGGTCCAACAATATCTAATCTTCCCTTGTGAATTTTAATTTTCACTAGCGGTGTTTTGGTGTGTCTAGTTACTTTTGATTTTTGACAGTTCAAACATTCCTTCGACCAGAGATTTAGTGCTTTGCTCATTTTTGGCCAAAAATAGCGTTCAGTCACTAACCTCCGTGTAGCTCTGACACCGGGGTGTGAAATATTATGTAATTTTTTGAGTATAGTTTTCCGCAAACTTAATGGAACATAAGGTCTAGGTGTATCTAAAGTGCATTCACACCAAATTTCTAAATTCAGAACTGGAATTTTTAAGAAGTTAAGATTCAAGTGTTTGCTTTTATCGGAAAGAAGCTGCGAAAGATCGTTACCTTTCTGTCAAATAACACCCTTAGATTAAGATCAGAATATTTGTATGCTTCTACTTCAAACGTTCTAGACAAAGTATCAGCTACAACATTAACGTGTCTGCCTTAAACTTCTTTCGGTCTTTGAATCTAAGGCAAATACTAAAGGTTTGTGGTCGGTATATACGATAAAAGATCTACCTTCTAGTAAATATCTAAAATGGTTAATATTTATATTAATATTTATATATTGCTAATAGTTCTCTATCAAAAGTACTATATTTAGCTTCACTAGGAGTTAATTTTTTAGAAAAGAATGCTAATGGCCCTGAAATGGGCGGGTCTGTGGAGGTCTGTCCGAAGCTGCGGACTGTAGGTGTGGGACAGGCATAGAAGACGTGGGGCACGTTCTTACTGCATGTCCCTTGTACAGTGATATTAGGGATTTAGCGAGTATGAATTTTACTCGGACCGGAGAAAATTGGGAGTACAGTAGGGCTTTAGAGGACGATAGGACAGTTGCTAGGTTGGGCGAATATACTAGGCAGGTATTCAACAGGAGGAGGACTGACGTTAGTGGAAGCAACCCCTAATGTGGTTAGCCATTGGTGGTGTTCCTTGCCAGGTGTCGTGCATTCTCGGCACGTTGGCTTGGTCTAAGTTTGCACATAGGTATATGACCATTGGATAGTTGCTTTCGTCTGATGTTGTGAGCTGCTTTCCTTCACTAATTTCGTTGTTTATTTGCTGCGTTTTTAGTTGCTCTCCTTGTCCGACTTTTTGTTGTTTGTTTTTAGGACTTCAGCCACATTGTCTCGCTGTCTCATCGTGGTCGTCGTTGTTGTTTCTTCGTTTTTCGTCGTTGCCTTCGTTGTTCTTTCGGCTATCCTGGGTATCCGTGAGGGTGCTCTGTTTAGTGTCTTGTGTGTACCGTCCTGCTGGTGTTAATAATATGACACAAAGTTGTTGTATGTTTTGTGTTGCTGCTAAGTTAGCGTTGCCACTCACAATTTATTTTTCTTACCAAAGTTCCGACAAAAAACTACCAAAACGTTCCAAAAACTACCAAATTTTTCCTTAGGGACAATTGCTTCTGTTTAGAGTTTCATTATTTTTAAAACTAAAGTAATATCATACAATGATTTGTTCCAAAGAGACAATGGTTTACTTTTACGTAATTAGACAAAATTTGAAAATACATTCATACTATATAGTTATAAAATACATAATTGCTGTTTTCGACAAAATTTGTACCAAAATCATTCCCGAGAAAATAGTAGTGTCCGACCGAATGTTCGGGTACGGGTTCGGAGTTCGGTAAAAAGTGAGGTTCGGTCAATGTTCGGTGTTCGGCGAAATTTTGACCGAACACCGAACGCCGAACTTTTTATAAAATGTTTTTTTTTCATTATATTTTTATATCATCAAAAAGTTTTAAAAATGCTGAAAATCTATTTAGAGGAGTTATCATACATCCTGGCTGTACAATAAATTTCGTATATACATAGGTACAAAACGCCTTTTTAACCGTTCGTTTTTTCGGCTGATTTGAAAAACTGTTAACCAGAAACTGATTAAAAAGCTAAGAAAACTGAAACATTTAATTTGAATTATCTAGTTTCGATTATAAATCTTTGATTTCATTTGTAACATCGAAATTTTCTAGGTTCTTATTCTCAAACGATCTAGACATGTCTGTCAGTCAGTCAGTCTCTTGAAAGAACGGTAGGACCTAAACTATTGTTGCAGTTTGATTGGTATTCAAAATGGACAAAATCGGTTTACATTTGGACATGGCCTCCATATAATGTTCGCTTTAGAAAATTACTAACGTTCATAACAGGCTTAAAAATATATTTGAAATTATACTTAAATTTTTTTATGAACCAAAATTTCATATAAATTGGCAAATTGAAATTTGCGAATTGTGTTAAGTATTGTATATATATTTTTATACCCTCCACCACCATCAGTGGTGATAGAGGGTATATATAACTTTGTCATTCCGTGTGTAACACCAAGAAATATTCATCTGAGACCCAACAAAGTATATATATTCTGGGTCCTTATGAAATTCTGAGTCGATTTAGCTATGTCCGTCCGTCCGTCTGTCTGTGTAAAACACGCTCACGTTAAAACGAAGCAATATAATTTAACCAAATTTACCCAAAATATTCACTATTATCCGGTACAGTTTGGTATTGAAAATGAGCAAAATCGGTTCACATCGGGAAAAGTTATGAATCAAAATTTAAAACAACTCCGAAAAAAATAAGCATTTTTTACACATTCTGATGTAATTTTCTCGAAAACTATGCAAGGTAATTTCATAAAAGTCATCATACATTCGTTTCTACACAAGATATTGATTCCTGCTGAAAATTGCCAGAATCGGTCCATAATTTCATATACCTCCCATACAAAAGTACATATTCCCGGAAAATAAGTTTTTTGTTAATAACTTCCGTTAGAATGTTGATATCTTCACAAAATTTTACAAATTAAAATTTTATGTCAATAGAATTCATTGGGAGAAAACATTTTCTGGATTGGTCCATAATTGGACATAGCTCCCATAAAAGGTCCCCTCCCGAAAATCACTTAAACGCGCATAACTCATTACTAAATTAAGATATCCATATAAAATTTGGAATAAGTATTGCTCATATGCACAAAAATATTACTGTGAAAGTTTTTTCCGATCGGTCCATAATTGGCTATAGCTCCCTTACAAGGTCCCCTTCCGAAAATCACTTAAACGCACATAACTCATTACTAAATTAAGATATTCATATAAAATTTGATACAAGTATTGCTCACATATACAGAAATATTAGTATGGAAGTTTTTTCCGATCGGTCCATAATTGGTCACAGCTCCCATACAAGGTTACCTCCCGAAAATCACTTAAATGCAGAATATTCATTGCCAAATAATGATATAGATACAAAATTTTGAAATTTTGTCTTTATATACATAAACGCACATTACTCATTACCAAATAAAGCTATTGATATAAAATTTGGGACAAATATTAGTTTGGTATACAAAAATTCTATTTCAAGATCTTTTCATGATCTTTCTATAACATGGGTGCGGTCGGTCCCATGCAAGTGTCCCTTCAGAAAATCACTTGAACATACATTACTTATTACTAAATTACGATATACATACAAAATTTGACTGAAATATAGTTTTTATGTACAGAAATTTTGCTTAAAGAATATTTTACGATCGGTCTATAATTGGTCATATCTCCCATACTAGGTCCTGCCCCTAAAAACAATTTGTGTAGAACAAAATTATACATATATGTATTTTGAAAATCCTTAAATCTTTCACACACATGCATACATGCACATTATTAAATATCGTTAAAGCATATCTAAGGGCGCTATAAAAATATAAAAGAAAATGGGGTTTGTAATGTTCAACAAATCTTGGAATTGTAACAGATTTAAGCTGTTTAAATCTTGGTGTTTTTCTATTTAAGACATGAGAAAACTTATTTCTACAAATATTTGATCAATTAAAAAACTATTAATATAAAAGTAGCTGGTGGAGGGTATTTAAGATTCGGCTTAGCCGAATATAGCACTCTAACTTGTTTCTAAATAATTATTTTTAATTTATATGAAATATATCTTTTTTTAAATTTTACGGATTTTAAACTTAATTTTTTTATTTATTCCAAATTTTCTTAATATGATTTCTTATTTATTTTGAAAATTTGAAAATTTCCTTTAAACATTCACTTTTTAATGTATTTTAACTTTCATATTTATTTAATTTTTTTTTTTTTTTTTGAGTATAGTGATCTTCTTAAATTTATTTCTTTCTTGAGTTTTCTGATGTGTTTTTTTTCTTTGTTTGTTTAACCGTGTAACATAAATATTATTGTTTCTTGAGTGTTTCGTTTGTAAATTTTTTTCAAACTTCGATTTTCTCTTTCTTCAAATCATTTTAAATCTTTAATATTTTTAATTTTTTTAAAATAATTATATATTTCTTTACCCATTTTCATTAATATTTTTTTCAATTATTTAAATTTTTCTTGTTGTTTTTTCTATTTTTATTTTTTTATTATTTTGTTTGCTGTTTTCATTTAAAATTTTAACCACTATCACTCCACAACACAACCAAAAGCCGAAACTGACTGAGACTATACTCTCTGCTCAATATAATTATGCAGCTTCTTTGTGGACAGAAATTTGTCTTTTCGATCTTTAATTAGGTGCCAATCTAAAGAACAAAAAAAGAACCAAAAAAAGATATACGTTTTTTTCTTGCTAAATTTAACTGGAGAGAGATTATTCTCTTTATATAAAAATTACCATTAAAGTTGGCACCAATCTTAGAAACAAATCCAACAAGAAAGAAATGAAAGCCAACAGCAATAAGATTCTGATCTATAATTCAAGAAAAATAAATTTTTGCTCAGATCAATATAAAAATCTTATTTTATAGAGAAAACCTTACCCTTGAATTTCGATTTTAATAAAAATTAAAAATAATACCAATCTGGAGCAATTCTGGCCTTGCAAATATAAAAAAATTAGTTCCCTCTCACAGAAAGCAAACTAGCAAATAGAAGAAAAAAAAAAAAGAAAAGAAGTTTAAGCTTAATATTCGGTAAAACCAACAGAAGCTCAAAAAAAACGGACATCTACTTACAGTTTTCTTCTGTACTTTTCCTTTAAAAAAAATATATATTTTTCTTTATAAATTAACTTTCTTTTTTTTTTAATATTGTTAACAAAAAATGTTTAAGAAAACTTGCTGTTGCTAGGCGATCCTCCAAAAAAATGGTAGAATTTTTACTCCAAATCATTAACGAAACCTTGGTTGGCATAAAAAATCTAGCGGTTTGGAAAAGTAACATTTCTATTCCCTAAATTCAATTAGATTTTCGTAAACAAATATTAATGCAAACGTCAATTGAACGATAGGAGTGATATTCATACTTCCACTTTACTCCAATAGATGGCATCGTAAACAATGTAAATGACAATGTTAAGTTTTTCAACGTAAATAAAACAAATTCAAAATTTGAAAACATGCAAACAATATATTTATTCATTATTATAAATTTATTTAGTTATAAGCTTATTTACTTATTTATTTATTTATTTATTTCTCTTTTTATTTATTTATTTAGGTAAAAAAAATATATAAATATCTTTCGCAATTTTTTCCCAAAAATCATTTTATCATTGCAAACGACATTACAATACAATACATCCATACTAGTCCAGGAATGCCGGGAATCCTTAAATAGGATGGCGAGACATTCAAAAATCGTACTCAAATGGGTACGGCGATTTGATTGGTAACTGTGTGGCCGATGAATTGGCAAAAACAGGATCCTTAATGTCCGTTATTATGCCGAATTTCTGCGGCATACCGCTAAAGGCCTGTAAGGAATTAATAGATAAATAGTTCTATGAACTCTCTCAGACGAGATGGCGAAATGAGCCAACTTGTATCATCACCAGGAAGATATTTCCAAATCTGGCCAAAAAACGCACGTCATACCTCCTGCAACTGTGTCGTCCACATCTCAGCAATTTTGTTGCTGTTAGCACAGGTCACGGCTCATTTGGATACCATGCAAGAAGACTTGGTATAACACACAACGACTTCTGTAGAAGCTGTCAGGACGATGACCTGTCACAACTATCCAATCTAAGATTGGAAAATATAAACGTCTTCATCAGGCACAGCAATTGGTTCTAAAACCCATATGACCACACTAAATCGTGGTATTTTATTAGTCCACAAGGACGAACATTTTCTTTAACTTTCTCCTTTATCTATACTCATTCTTATAATTACTCTAAGACTCTAAACTTCACTCCTTGCCTCTCTTATTATTTAACCCTAAAACTATTCCCCTTTTTTTCTCTCTCTCTGCTCTTTCATTTCTTTACAGGTGTCACAAAGGGACCAACAGGACCCAGGTGTGCGTCTTTTGCAGTCTGAATACCATACCATATCATGATAAAAAATTATTAGGTATTATTTATTAACCCCTTGTCTATATTATACGAATATTTATCACGGCACTTGACAAAACGTCGGCAGAAAAATTGTCAGTTTTTTGTTTATGTTAATGCATAGGGGTAACAAAATGCTGATTTTATCACTACAACTCACAGATAATTTTATTGAAATAATGCTAAGTTTTATAAAAACAATTAAAATTAAATGCAAATTTTGTAAATAAACACTAATTTCACTAAAACTTATGTTAAAAATCAATTTTAATTGCACAAAAACAAAATTCTAAACAAATTTTACAAAGTTTGTTATCAAACAACATTTGTTATCTAAGCAATTGTTTAGACAACACTGTCATAACGACGTTATAACGCTAATAAATGCTGTCTGTACCAGCTAATTTTTTATCATAATAACAATTGACGTTTAGCGTAATATATATTTGTCTATTATAGACACGGGGTAACGTGAAGACATTTATTAACGTTATAACAAAATTTTGTTTTTGTGCAATTAAAATTGGTTTTTAACACAAGTATTAGTAAAATTTTGTCAATATTTGCATATAATTTTAATTGTTATTATTAATTATATGAATAGTATAAAAGTATGATTTAAAATTTTGCGTTTGTATGACACAACACTGTTTCATTTTTTTTTGTATGTGTTTACATAAAAATACTTCATTAATCTAATGAATCTTTCTTGTTATCATTTAAAAAATGAAGAGAGCCATACGACTGTCAAATTTTTCATTCGTAATATCTCCCTTTTACATTATACCAGCAATTATTGAGGCAGAAGCATAAACAACAAACACATACACAAATTTTATAAATGAAATTGCTTCTGATTTTTCATATCAAACACAATTTGGATAAATATTCCTAAATGAAATCTTCCTAAATGTCAAAATTAATTAACGGTCTAGGTTTGAATAAAGATTTTAACTGAAATCTACTAGATTTCGAGGCAGTGTAAATGGGATATATGAGTTGTTTATATGTTTAAAATAATAAATAGTGATATTTAATTCTTCAGTCAGAAAATATTTCAAAGCAAAAAACGTGATAATTTAATGTCTAAGCGGTTAATTAAATAGAGTTACTAATTTCTTGAAATAAATTATTTTTTCGAAATTTTTGATATCTAATAACAAAGTTTATATACGAGGCACAGTCAATTATGGACCATCCTTATAAAATTTAATAGATCAATTTCGGATTTTATAAATACATTTGATTCTTTTGATTTTTGTGTTTCTGACGAATTCTATAGTTATACTGGTATTTTTAAGACAGTTATTAGTGTTCAATTATCCCATGTCTATATTAGACAAATATTTATCACGGCACTTGACAAAACGTCGGCAGAAAATTGTCAGTTTTTTGTTTATGTTATTACGTAGGGGTAACAAAATGTTGATTTTATCACGAGAACTGACAATTTTATTGAAATAATGCTATATTTAATAAAACAATTAAAATTTAATTTTAATTTAAAAATTAAACGTTAATTTTATTTAATAACTCTACTGGTATTTGTGCTATTTCTTATATTATTTATCGATTATGAGATTTTGGTTCCTATTAAACTAGTTTGTGTTGAATTTTATCACTATACTTGTTTTTTCAGCCAGTTATGAGTCATAACGTCATATTCTGTAAGGGATCTTATGTGGTCAAGACAGTTCGGCAACAACAAAATTTTCCATGTATTTTGCTTTTGTATTGATATGCACTGATGCCACATTGTCACACAACAAATTGCTATTTTTATGTGTCGCCAAGGCGCTTAATATGATATGTCAAAATTTTGTGCAGAAGAGAACGGATGGGATCGTCTAAACGGAATATGTAATGAAATCATCACACATTGAGAGAAAATACGAATGGAATATATGACGGTTGTATGGCTATCTTCATTTTTTTAAATGATTAAAAAAACAAGCAAGTCGCATTAGATCAGAGATGTATTTTTGTGTAAACACATACAAAAAAAGTTAAACAGCTGTTTCCACCTTAAATTATTAATTAAATCATACGTCTTTTATTGTCTTTTTTGTCATACGGATGGAATTTCATTCTACTTTTTCAAGAATGGCGAATTTAAATTATGTGTAATTTTCTATTAATATGATGCATACATTTGTGTTCTTAGTGGTGACTAGCTTTTCAAATATAGACTGTGTGCCAAACGGCAGCAAAGTTCTATGGTAAAATAAAATTTTCTTATGGTGGAAAATATTATCACTTTTGCTGTGCCAAACGAAATCTTTTTTTTATTACATTAAATTTTGACAATTGTCACTAATTTCACAAGAAAATCTGCATTTATTTTAATAAAAGAAACTCTTTTATTGATTTTTTTATATTTAAAATAAATTTCTACAACCACAAATGTATTACAAATTAAAATTATAAAATATTTTATTTTTTATATTTTCAAATTTTTCTTTTCAATTGTCAAAAATTTATGTAGCCCGATGAGCTAGTAAAATTTTATTCACCTCATATCTGTCAAAAATTTACATTTTCAAGTAAATTGTTACCGATTGGCACACACTCATAAAATAATTTTTGTTTTTTAAAATGAAAATTAACATTTAACATAAGTTTCAATGAAATTATTTACAAAATTTACATTATCTTTTTATTGTTTCTATAAAATATAACATTATTTCAGTAAAATTTTCTATGAATTGTCGTGATAAAAGCAGTATTTCGTTTCCCCTATGAATTGACATAAACAAAAAATTTACAGTTTTTCTGTTTTGTCAAATATTTGTCAAATATAGACATGGATAAGACATACAATATCAAAGTATATTAATAAAGTAGCATCACTTGAACAGCTGACTATTTTTTTTAAACTAGATAAATGAAGCAAGTTGTCAAAGTTTGTTTTGAAAATTGTTAACATTGTTTACGTCGCCATTTTTAAATTGTGTTTTGCTATTTGTTAAAATTTGTGAAAAATTGAAAAAATGAATTAAAAGTGGTTTTAATGTAGTTTAAAAGTGTAATAAATTGTATAATATATAATAATATAATTAAATTGTTAATATTTTTAACTTAAAAGTAATATTTTTTATTTATGTTTTGTTCACATTGTTGTTCAAGGAAATTTTATTTTGACACAATCTTAAATTATTCCAAAAACAAAATATATGTGGTTGTTGTAGATGTTGTTGTACAACAAGAGATATCGCTACTTTATTAATATACTTTGTACAATATCACTATTTTAGTGCTTTTTACAGAAAAATTGATTTTTTCGTTTATACGTTTTTTTTTTAACTTTTATATTTAAGGAAGTTTACAACACTAGTGATCAAGGCTGCCAGATGAATTTTTGAAAAAATCGTCAATTTCCCGATAAATTTTTAAATAATCGTCATTTTGGTTTTAAGAAATCGTCAAAAAAATCGGAGAATATGAAAAGCTTAAAATTTTTATAAAAAATTAAAAATATTGTAATATTTTAAGATGAAATATTATAAAAAATTTATAATATTAATACATATTTATGTAAAATTCGAAAAATACGGAATATTATTGATCAAAATTCAATAAACTTTGAGTTTTGAAGAATATTCGACAGTAATGTTAATTCTTTTCTAATGTTCTCATAATGTTTTCAATGTTCTGGCATTTTTAAAAATATCAAACATAAATACTGCTAAAATTTACATAGTGTACACATATAGTTTTTAGGTATAGAAACTTTTTCATCTTTTTCCTTAAATTTCTCAAAGTTTGTTGCATCACAATATTGCTTATTTTGGTGCACAAGG